TGAGTACCACCACGGGAGTCCCATGCTTTGGGGGACTTAAATAACCATTAGCCTCTAATTGGTTACTTTGTGGCCTTCTATTTGTCATAGATCCATTGACCTCTGTTCTAATTGTCACTCCAGTGACCTCTCTTCCGTGGTTATTTACCTATGAAACTTTTGGATCTCAATTTTTACCGCTTAAATAATTTGTTTTTTTAAGTTATGTTTAATGTTTTAGCTTAAATAACTATCCATGATTATTTTTGAGCCTTATGCTCTTGGTATAATATTTCTCAATTTACTATGTGCTTATAGTTGTTATCCCTTTCAGGTGATGAAATACAAGGAAGGATTATGACCTCATGTAGTGGAACAACACAGAACTTGTTACTGACATTTTTATTGTTATTTATTTTTCTTTTCTTACTTTTTCTTCATTTTATCATTTGTCACCGAATAATAAAAATAATAAAAGCCCCATGGGTATATTTTCGATCATTAATGAAGTACATCTTCTATTTAATTATTTTCTTACTTCTATTCTGCCTCTGTTGCACCATTTAATTTGTTAAGATTAGAATTAATTAGTAAGTTGCAATTCCAATCCTAAGCCTTTGGGGTTGGGTCGTGACAGAATTATTGTGGCAAAAACATTTGCTAGTTAAAAACTATCACATTTTAAAAGAGAGGGGTTTGGTTTTACAAACCAAAAAAAATGGAAAAACAAAAAACAAAGAGGGCTAGACTTTCAAAGAAATATTTGCTTTGTAAAACCCAAATTATAGAAGGGAAAAAATTGTAAGTTTATTTTTGGTTGAAACAAAATTGACAAGGTTGAAGAAAATCAATCACTGGAGTTAAGGGTGCTCGCGAATCAATTTTTGACAGTTAAGCCTGTGGTTTGGACTCGCCCACATGTTTGCGGTTTAGGAAAAATTGAACCCACAACCGTCCGCAGTGCAAGTTGCGGTTTGTGCGGATATAATTCATGGATGTACTGGCAGTTTGCAGATTGAGGTTTTTTCTTTAAAAATTTATTTTTCGGCTTGGTTTTTCCCATTTTTAAAATATTTTTGATTGCGGGAGATTCAACACTATCCTCCATTAAAATTGGATTATAAAAAGTTAGAATGAAAATTGAATAAAAACTAACATAGACCAAAAAAAAATCACATAACTAGATTTACAAAAAATTGAAGAAATTCTAATTGAAGAATAAGTATTTTAAACAAGGCAGTGTATGATATTATTATAATATTATAATGTTAGAACCTACAGGTTTAATAATCAAATTGAACTGAGTGAGAGAAGAGAAAATTAGGTTTACATACCTACAAAACTTACAAGAAAATCTAATGGTTCAGATTTAAAAAAAAAAATTGTATACAAATGTGGGCGGATGAGTACAGATGCAAGTAAAACTCGTGACTCGCTTGCAACCTGTAAAACAGGAAAATTCTAACCCACATCCGACCTTTCTGGAAAATCGCCCAAATAGGTGCAGGCAGTTCAAGTTGAGCAGTTTTCGCGTGTCAGATACCCTAACTGCAGTAATATCAAATTATAATGAAGAGGATAATATAGAAGAACACAAGATTAACATCAAATTATGATGATGATGAAGAGCACGAGCTATGTAGAAAGGGACAAAATCCAAGAGATATAAACTTGTAAGGAAAAGAGAGGTAGTATCGTTTCGGAACAGACTATTTTAGTAATTCTTTGGCTTTTTAATTAAAATATGAGTTAAAAAATTAATTTCATTTGGCATAAACTTTTTTAGCCTGACTTTTTGATTTTTTTTTTAGTTATTTTAACCTAACTAAAAAAATTATGTTTGGGATAAGCTTTTGATTTTTTTTGTAATTAATTTGATGGTTGTGAAAGAGGAAGTGAAATGGTTATGATTTGAATGTGACATTTTGTCATATTTTGACTTTTTTATAAAATAAAATAAAATAAAAACTTGCAAAAAGTAGGGACTAAAGGGAATATTTGATATATATATATATATATATATATTTGTTGACTTTTTTACATTTTTAGTGACTTTTTAATTTTTACACTAAAAAATAAAGTTGCTAAATGAGAAAATCAAATAAAAGATAATTTATTAGTTCGGATCAAAATCAAGTCGTAAAAACCCAAGGGTGGTTGGCAACTTGGTTAAGGCCTGGGGATTAAGCCCCAAGTCCAAGTTCAAACCTCCTTGAGCCAATCTCCTGGGCGTGACACAGTTGGTTAGGAGGTTAGTCTCAAGTTATTGTTATCACAGCACTTGATGTGGATTCAATGCTCTCTTGCTGTGCGAGTCTTCACTTAAGCAGAGCTTGTCTTGGGAGGTCGGGGCAAGTTCCCAGGCCAGAGTCTCCTAGCTTGGAACGTATAACGGGACACCCTTGGGAGGTTGGGGCAAGTTCCCAGGTTAGAGTCTCCTAACTCGGAACGTATAACAGGGCACCCTAGTGATCTCTGCAAGGGGCGCTGCCTTGGACTTGCGGGAGAGCGGGAGGATTTTCCTATAACCAAAAAAAAAAAACTCGTAAAGATTGTTGGTTTGTTTTGATAGAAAATAATTTTTTTTAAAAAAATAATTACATATTTTTTAAATAAACTCTAAACCTTTAATTTTGTCAATTTAAATCTTAAAATTTTAATTTGTTTCCAATCTAAATCATTTGCATGTTTTTTGTTAAGTAAAATCAACTGAAAAAATAATATTTTAGTCATTAAAATAAATGAAAAATGGTATTTTGAACATTTTATGTATACTTACATTGAGTTTAATGACTAAAATACTCTTTTTCCATAGATTTACGTAACAAAAATAGATGAATAATTTAGATTGAAAATAAATCAAAGATTAAGGTTTAAATTGAAAAAATTGAAAACTCAAAGTTTATTTGTGAAAAGACTCAAACCATGGATTTTTTTTTGTAATTGTCTCAAATATATTTTGTTGTAGTCTCTAAAATGACTTATCGTTAAAAAATTTGTAAGTCAATTTTTAAGAAGTTTACTTCCCGCATTTGTAGCACATTGATCTTTAGGCAAATTGCAATTCATATCACTTTTTTCCCATTGAACTAAAAATTATAACACTAAACCCCCTCTTATCTATTTTTTTTTTTTTCAATTTGGACTTTAATGATGAAAATACCTTTTTAGCGGTAAGCAAATTACACTTCACCCACTTAAACTATCACTCTATCATTTTAATCTCTTCAACTAAATTTTTTTACACTTTATTACATAAAACTATCAATTTGTATCAATTTAAATCTTTGACTAATAATTTGTTACATAAATAGATAGAAAATTGAAGTGTAACTTGCATACGTTATCTCAAATTTTGTGAACAGCTTAAAATACTTTATTATTCTCTTTTGTTTCGTTTTTCTCTCTATCACTTCTTTGCCCTACCCACGTCAACAACCATAGATGCATACACTATGGTTACCACTATTGTTACCTTGATTAGGAGATTGGAATGGGTGGCGAGGAAAAGAAGATGAAGAATAATATCATTTTAGACATTTCATAATATTTGAGAATTTTTTATTTATTTATTTATTTTTAATGCATTTGAGATTTCATGTTTACATGTCAATTTTTTATCTATTTGTGTAACAAATCCTAAAAGAATGTTATATTAAATATAACATTTTTAGTTGAGGGGTAAAGCGATATTGAATGATAATTTAAAGAGGTAAAGCGTAATTTGTCTTATAATTGAATGGGTATTTTCATCATAAAGGTTCAAAATGGAGAAAAACACACACACACACATCAAAAAAAAAAAAAAAAAAAAAAAAAAAGAGGAAGAAGAAAAAGAAGAAGAAGAAGAAGAAGAAGAAGAAGAGAGAGTGAGTAGATGCAAAGGATTAAGTGTTGCAATTTTTAATTCAATGGTGTAGAGTGATTTGGTATAATAGTTGAGGGGGTGAAGTATAATTTATCCTTGATCTTTTCAAAAGTAAAGGGTAACTCTTCCTTAATTTTTACCCAATGCATGCAATAGAAAGTTTTTGTGTTATAGTATCAACCAAAAAACAAAAAATAAAAGGAAATATTTTTTTTATGCAAAATCAATTTAAATGAAAATATTTTCAATCGAAACAAACAGATCCGAAGGGTTCTTTCTTTTTCCTTTTATTATATAGAGCTGTATCTTGCTGGCTGTTGTTTAACATCTAATGCTTATAACTGCTTAAAACAGTTGAAAATATTCAACCTTGCAAAATGATAATATTTGAGCAAGTGAATATAAACCAGATAGAACAAACTGATGCATGCTTGCGACGCAGTATTAATAGATATTAACATATTCTCTAAAAAATGTGTTACTAAAATGGTCATGTTTAGGAAAAAATAAATCCAAATGAAAACGTGGCTTCATAACTTCAAAATTCATAATAGATTATTGGTCCTGCTTAAATATATATTTTCAAGTCAGTCAACCAAGGACGGAACCAGAATTTCATCACCGAAGGGGCCAAAGACAAATAATTTTATTTCACTATATATACAAACACATATATATGTACAATATGATACATAAACTATATACATGCATAAAAAAAATTCAAATACCATATAAGTAATATCTTTTCGGATAAAGAAATTTTTTTGGTACCAAAAAACAGAAAAAAGAAGAAGAATAAGATGCATGTCTGGATGGGTCTAGAACATCCTAGAATATCATGGAGAAGCCTACCATGTACTACACTGGTATAGAGAATTCTAGAAGGTAGTAGAAGGGTAGTTGTCCTAGATATTTCTATGGAGGGTTCTAGAGAAGAGCTTGTAGCCCTTGGATCAAAATTATCCTAGCCATCCATTAAGGAGGATGATGGCTATATAAAGGGGAGGAGTCTCATTTGTAAGGCATCAACAAGAAGAGAAGAGATCCAAGAGAGCTCTAAGAGTAAAGCATTTGTGAGGGTGAGAGCCTTGGAAAGCTTTGTACACAACTATACTTGTATAGTGAATACATTCTTCCACCTAAACTTTGTGTTTTAGTTAGTGTGGTCGAGTAAGGAAGGCTGACTTAGGTGCAACCAAGTAGGTTGATAAGCATCCAAGGCCGCACGGTTGGCTTGGAAAATCCAAGGCCGTGACACTTTTATATTTAGTTTCAGTGTTCGCAGAATAGCCTGTTGCAAATGTTCTCTACTCAGATTCTCCTTGCTTCCTTCTGTTGAAACCTTCACCCAGATGACTATATCAAACATTTTTGCAACTTCATCATGGTTATTTAAGTTCAGCATTATGGTTGTTTTTCCAATCCCCACAGTTCCATGGATTTGAATCCCCTTAACTTTGTCATTTCTTAGTAATCCCAACACCTGCTCAAGAGACTTTTGAAGCGTCTCAAATTTTTTGATATCTGGTGCCCTCATCTTCACGACAGGTTCTTGTGGTTGGTCAATCAGCAATTTATCCCTGATTTGATTGCTCTCTTTGAGAAGTTTGATTACTTGTTCATGCTTCTTTACCAAATATTCTCTGAAAGTTGAAGATGTAGAAAAGCTAAAAGATGACTTCTCGCTTTCTTTGTCATGTTTGGCGACTAAATTATCCACTTGATCTTCAATCTCCATCACTCTACGAATCCATTCCTTATAAGTTTCAGATGGTACCTTTATCTTGTGTCCCCCGACTTCATTTTGGTAATCCTTCCTTTTAGAACGTAGCACTCCTACTGCCTCTTTTAAAGCATCCAGAATCTCCTTTACACTATTTGAAGAGGCAATTTTTCTCATAAGTGGATCCCACAATGATGGTTTAGCTTGGGACACCGAGCCCACCATACCTGCTGCGGCCCCTACTACAGCAGAGGCCGCTACTACTACAGCTGCTGCTTCAGCTATAGAGAAACTTCAAAGTTCAAGCTTGTAAGAAAAAGTTGACAGAAGCAACAAACATTTAGATAAAATAAATATAGTGAGGGTGGACTCAGACCAAAACTATACAGCCAACAATCTTTAACTCATATTCGTCTCTCAATCTAATCTCAATTCTTTTTACCACAGGTCACAGTTGAGCTGACAAGTTAGTGTACTAGAGACAATGCACTAGATAATTGCAAATAACAACAGAACTCTCTGGGGGTTACCCTTTGAGTTTTCGACGAAAGAGATTAGGTAAGTCTTTGGCAAGCAGATTGGTGAATTCAGATCTACATTTTGGGATGCCTAAAGATACATCACAGAACTACAAATGCTTGATTCGAAGATCAAGCTCTTGAAGCCTTTTAGATCCAAATCCAAAAAGGAGATCGAATTAGAGTTCACCAGTTGTAGTCCGGTGTAAACCACAAAGTACTATTGTATTGAACCCATATTATTGAAATTAATAAAATCAAATTATATGCATCTTTTTTGGGGTAAATTACACTCACCTCCCCAAGGTTTCTGACAATTATAGTGACCTCCCTGTAGTTTCAATAATTACAGAAATCTTTCTTACTTTTTCTGACATTGTCAAGATTCCCCTCTCCCGTTAATTTAACTCAAACAGTGTTAACTTAGTTGTGCAAGTGACCATAATACCTTTACACTTAATACCATTTAATTGTAATTTACCTATATATTAAATTATCAATTTATTTCTCACAATTTTTTTTTTTTTTTTTGTATTTCCTTGACTTTGTAGTTTTTTTTTTTCCCACTATAAGTTTTGAACTTTTATAATTTTTTTTTTTAAAAATCAACCATTAATGAAATTAAGTAAGAATATCCATGTTTCTTATTTGAATTAATTTTGAGATTTAATTTAATAAAAATAATTTAAATGAAAGAAACAAAGATGGAGATATAGATTTTAGATGTAATAAATAACAAATTATTTGAGTATTTTATTATTTTTAAATAATTTATTTCTTCAAGTAAAATTCTATTTTAATTAGATGTAAGAAATGACAAATTTAAATAATTTATTATTCTCAAATAATTTCTTTATCTTTCATTCCCTACATCTAATTTTAATTTATTGTAACGTGATTAGATATTTTTATACTTTTAAATAAATTTTTTAAAATTTTATTATTAAGGTGAGAAATATTGACTTTTTTTTTAATGAAAATTAAAATTTGATTTTGTGTTTTTTATTTTTTTTTCTTGTTACTTTTTGATATTTATTCTCTCACATACCAGACATGTCTTGCTCATTAATACCATTTCATGTTAAAGGTAACAAATTATCCAGTTCTTCCCCCGCTCTAGTCTCGTCCCCACCACCTCCCCAATTTTTCCCGTCCAATAAAGTAAGGGATACAAGATTGTAAACCTGCCCCGCCCTACCATTTATGATATACATCCCATGTAAATCTCCTCCAAATAATTTTTTTTTTAATTTTTTTTTTTGCCTACAATAAATATAATAACATACACAATCATTAAAATTTGTCAAACATTTAAAAATATGACTTAATTTTCTAACGGTATATCAAAGCTCTACAACTCAATATCAATGTTTAAAACAAAGAGGATTTACATGGAAAAATAACTCTATTAATCCATTACAAAATATAAGTGGGAGTCAATTAATTAATATTTTTTATATAAGGTTAATAGGAAAATTTATTAGAAAATCCTTATTCAAGTGTTTGTATCTCATTTAGTTCATAAGATATTCTTATATTCTAATAAGTTCTATTATTTGGACATTTAATCTACAAAATCCTAATTCTCATATTGAAGGTATTTTATGGATATTTCTACCCTTACAAATATTTTTTAAACGGTTACCAATTTGATAATGTGAGCATTCATATTTTATAATGTAAATATTCATATGGACGTGTGAATGTTCACATTAACAATGTGAATATTCACATTGACATGCTAATATTCACATTGACGATATGAATATTTATATTGATGGTGTGAACATTCACATCAAAAAATATTCACACTGTAAATATGAATATTATTAAGAGTATTTTGGTAATTATGTCACCCATAGTATTTTTTAGAACATAAGAAAATAATATGGACTAAATGGAATATAAGTAGGTAAAAAAGAATATATTAAAAAATGCCCCAAAGATTTATCATAAAATAAAACTATTCAATAAAACTTTTCACTAATTTCCAGGTTTAATATGAAATTTAAAAACTTATAATTTAATTTAGAGTAAATTATATCAAAATCCTCAAAATTTTGGGGCATTTGAAAAGTTGATAAAAAGTCAATTTTTTTGCTTTTTAACTTTTTTACACAAAAAAGACAACTTTTTTAGCAAAAAAGTCAAAAAAAAAAAAATTTAAAAAATTAACTTTTTACCAACTTTTCAAAACACCACTTTATACGTTTTCTTATTAAACCCCTGAATTAAAATTTCGTTCAATTAAGTCCTCTAACTTCGCAAATTGGTTCAAAGTAGCCATTCTGTCACATCATGTCTGTTTTTTGCCATTACATACATTATATGGATCTGATTGACAAATAAATTGATGAAATTAATCACAAATTCATTTTTTATTATCAAAAAATAAAATAAATAAAATCAACACTCCTACCTTTACAGATATATTTCTTAAGTTATAAGAAAAAGGAATTTTTGGATTAATTATAATATTAATTTCTCTTTCAGTTTGGTCATATATGTATTTAATAAAAGAAAATGGACATAATGTAACAAAATGTCTGCATTGAAAAATTTTGAGAAGTTAGAGAACTACTGAAACAGTTTCGTTTCTCTCAAATTGTCATCTATAGTGTTTGCACTTACTAGGCCCATTTTCCAATTGTCATCTGAGTTTGAGATAGTGTTTGGGCTTGCTAGGCCCATTTTAAAATCGATTTTAATGATCTAAATTGCTCACTTTTTTAAATTCATCAAATAGAATATTCATTCAAAAAATCAATGAGTCATAATTTTTTACATGAATATTCTATTCAACGAGTCATAAAAAATGAACGATTTGAATCATCGAAAACAGATTTGAGGTGGGCTCCATGGGCCCCTCAAATTCTCTTATGTTGAAATGTAAACATAAAAGAAATCCAAATATTTCTAAAAGCTTCACACCACCATTGTCTACCATCACTGTCGCCGTTTACCTACCAGCACCATTGTCATCATCATCCACCCGCCACACCACCGCCACACCACCGCCATCCATCTATCCACTACCACCACCACCGTCATCGTCGTCCACCCACCACCTCCATTGTCACATATCCACCACCATCGTCACAAATTTAGGTTTTATTTTCAGTGATAAATTTATCAATTTCTCTTATTTTTGTATATGTGGAAGAGGATGGTGAATTCATGTAAATGAGTGAGTGAATGTAAGTAAAGATGATGGATATTAATAAATAGTTTACAATGATAAATTTATTAGTTTGGTCAATAAGTTACAGTGATAAATTTATCAGTAAAGACTTGTAAGTAAATAAGTTTAGTTAATAAGATCGGTCTGTAAGTGCTCCTAAAATTTTGGAATTATATTTGGCCAAATTTGAATTCATCTTCGTGGTTTAGCTTATATGCGGATTATCTTTTATCATTTGAAAATAATCAAAAAACTTATTTGTTATTTGTGGACTAAATTGTACTATCCGATATTTTATATAAAATAACCTTAAGTGTGAAACACGTGCTATAAAATAAAAGGACTATATGCTTATTTTCAAATATTAAGAGGTAAATCGTACATAGAATAAAATACAAAAAATAAAATAAAGGGAATTTTGTCTCCCAAATAAAATGTTGAAAATTTCGATGTTTTGAACAATTTGATTACTTAAATATAAGGGTTTTGTGGTCTTTTTGCTTAAATTACATAAGAATTACTTGTGTATTTTCAAATGATATGTGAACATGAGTGAAATTTGATTTTTATTTTTAAGATAATTACGAATCAATACTGAATATAAAAAATAATTACAAAGATATGGGGTATAATTTTTTTATTTTTTATTTTTTTGTATAATAAAATCACAACAAAAGTTACGCTTTCACCTTTTGGTAAATAAATTTATCACTTTCCATGGTCTTGTAATTTTATTTTTATTTTTTATAACTTCTATTTTTCAAGATTAAATTACACTTTTTATTCTTATAGTTTAATCTAAATTTTATTTTAATTTCTATTGTTTTAATTTGGATAATTTTGTCCTTACAATTTATAAGATTAGTTTTAATTTGATCATTCTATTGCAATTGAACACTAAAATTAACAATTTTGAGACACTATGTAAAAAAAATGAACGAAAAATTAGATTAAATGACCAAATTAGAATTAGACTTAAAATATAGAGACCAAATTATTCAAAATGAAATTACTTGAACAAATTGAAATTTGAGTCAAATTAAGAGTGAAAATTGTAATTTATTATTATTATTTTTAATTTATAGCTAGACGTATGATGATTTATTTATTTTTTTAGAAAATAATTGAGGTGAAATTACTCAACAGTGTAATAGAAAGAAAAAACAAATACACAAATATAAAGGAGTGCAAGTGAGACTATAACCCTCAAACTTTCTACTTACATCCTACCACAAAATTACTTGCCGCCCATACATTTATAATTTTTTTTTCTGCTACATTATTAGTTAGTAATTCCCTTAATAATTTAATTGCTACATTATTAGTAAGTAATTTCCCTAATAATTTAATAATTTATAGGTTGACCTATAATGTTGACCGACTTCATAGCATTGTCTGTTAAAAAATAAAAAACTTCATAGCATTGAAACTTGGAACAGCTTGAGAATCAAACAAGGAGCAGTTGAAAGACTTAGGATTTGAAGAAGGTACGCACTCGATCTTCTATTAGCGGTGTGTGAGACGATCAGCGTACCCATAAAATTACTACCTTTGATTGTAGATTTGAAGCACCAATTTGAACAATGATATTGCAGATATACTAGCTGTGCAATGGACTTTATTGTTAAAACCTACCATCACCTACTCCACCTACTACACCTACCACCACCTACTACCACCTACTACACACCTACCACTACCACCTACTCCACTACATCTTCTATATAAGGAGCCCCTCACCATTTGTAATATATGACATACACAATCAATAATACATAAAATTTATTCTCTCTCTATCAATTTATTTTACATGGTATCAGAGCTATAAGATTTAGGCCTATATTTCTTTCTCACCGGCGGGCAGTCGGCCGGCAACCTTGCCTTCACTGCCCGCTGGAGTTTTCTACACATACCTTCACTCCGCTGCATCTTCAACTCTCTCTCTCTGTATTGAAATTCAGGGAGAAAGACAGACACACACACATAGGCTAGTCTCTCAGTCCTCTCTTGGTGTTCGAACTCGCCTCAAGTCCCTCGCTTTGCAGAGACTCCGACCAGCACCACCTCGCCAAAACCACCGATCCTCACCACCACCCATAGAAGCCATAGCAGCAAGCAACTCACACCAGTCCTCTTCTTGGCCATCACACACACAGACGGAGAACCACTGTTGCTCCATCGTCGTCGACCGCTGTCAACCACCGTGGACCACCAAAAATTCTCTCTCTAGCTCTCTCTCTCTATATAATTGGTATGGAGGGGGAACAAATCCCAAAAAAAAAAAAAATAGACCATGACTGCGTTGACAGAGATCTTCAACATTGTGAATAGGAAGAACCTTGTCGCAGGTGAGGATCATGCTAATGGCAACCCAGATTTGTTTGGACGTTTGTTTCATGTTTTCTAGTTGGGTCTCTCTCTGCAACGCACATGGGGGCACCCACTCAATCTCTCTCTCTCCCTCGGGCATTGTCTCTCTCTCTCTCTTCCTTTTAATTAAGTGTTTAAATACCCTACACACCACCTCCACCCACATGGGTTGGTTCCCACTTTTCATCATCAATATGTTCACACTCTCTTCCACTTTCTTTTCTTTTCTCTCTATACATATATTATTATTATTATTATTATTATTATTAAACCAAAAAAAACAAAAAAAACAAAAAAAAAAACCGAACACCATTGCCGATTTTAACAAAACCGTGGGCCAAGAAACCACGTGAACCACTGTAGACACCCCATTTTTGACCGACCTTAAGACTCAGACGTCGCCAGTTGAGCACTTGGTGATATTGCATGATGTGCTTGTTCAGAAGTCTCAGAGTCGCGGCCGTGAGCCCTGCCTCCGGACTTCCGAACCCTCTTCTGTGCCTTGCCTCGGTTTGCGAACCAGACTCGGTTTTCTCTGTTTCTTTTCCCGAAGGGAGGGAGAGGTCCCGTAGACCATCTCTCAGTGGCCATGGGCTACATTTTGTGGCCGTAGGCCATTTTGCCCATTTCGGAGCCCGGTTCCGGTTTTTCGGGACCGTTGGCCGTATGCCTCAGTTCGGGACCGCCTAACCATCTCCGTTTGCTCCAGTTTTTGGCATACATCTTGTTTGCTCCCTTTTGAGGGACACTGGGGTCTGAGAGACCCACTTCGTGGTCGAATGCCACTTTCGGTGCTTAACAGCCCACTTTCGGGACCCCGAACTGCGTGTTTTGGCCCCCGAGCATCCGTTTTGCAACGGTTTTCGTTCTTTTTTGGCAGGTACCTCTGTTTTATCACTGGGAAGGCTGTAGAAGGGTGGGAGGCCAATAATTGTTGCAGCAACCAGTTATATATCCCCCGACGCCCTCCGATGCCCGTTTTTCACACTTCCGGGCTAATGTTGAACACCTTGGGGCCACTTTCTTGAACTTTGAACTTGAACTTTCAACCACATATTTGTGATGTACACACATGGGAGGACCTTAAAAAGTGGTGGCCGGCCATTAATTCAATTTGACCCTTTTGAACCCCTCCTTCCGGGCTAATGTTGAACACCTTAGGGCCATTTTCTTCCAACTCAAACCACATATTTGTGATGTACACACTTGGGAGGATCCTAAAAGTTGGTGGCCGGCCAGTAATTCCACCTGACCGTTTTGAACCCCTCTTTCCAAGCTAATGTTGAACATCCTTGAGCCACTTTCTTGGACTTTTAACCACAGGGTTGTGTTGAGGACACATGGGAGGACACCATCATGTGGTGGCCGGCCACTAAATCAGCTTGACCCTTTTGACCCCTAGCCGGCCGGCTAGGGGGTGTGGCCGGCCGGCCACCTGCAACCAAAATAACTGGCCGGCCATGACCCTCACACTGTTCACTTTACAGCTGTATAGCTTTATCCCCCAGAAATAATCTTAATCCGGGGGATATTTCGTGGGGGGAAAAGCTTTGCCTCCTTTTCTCCCACTTTACTCCCTCTTTTTGTCCATATAACCAGCCCCAAACACTTGCTAGAAGGGGTTAGAAAAATTGTCTTCAAGGCCCTATACACTAATCTCCCTCTATCTCTCTCATTTTCTCAAAAACCACCAAAGTTTCACCTTTCATTTTTCTTCATCACACAACACAAGAACTCTACCACCACCACTCCATCAGCCAGCAAGGGAGGAATTCCCAGCTAGCTAAGAGGCATTTGCGTTCCAAAGAAGCAACAAAAGTATTGATCTTCAAGGTGAGTCCATTTTCCCTCTTTTCTAGTTTCATGTTTTGCACCAGTTCCCTAGCCATCATGCTTATTGTTTTGCAGGCTCCGACAAAACTTGAAAAGGTCATTTTTTTGAGCTCATTTTCATGTCTCATTAAGGGCTCAACCCTGTTTGAAGCCCTCCACTTGCACTTGGCCTTAATACCCTCTTTGTGTATGTCAATATTTGCATGCTTTTTCTAGCCTACGTGTTGATTCTATTTGGGAGTTCTCATGAACTGATATTTAGGCTTATTTTGAGCCCCTCTCAACAATGAAGTAGGGCTCACTTTGTTTGGGACCTCCATGTACCACTGTTCGTTATATCCATCTTTGGTCCACCTATTCTTGTAGACTTGGGCAGCCTTATCTTGCGTTCCATCTTTTGGTCATTTTACAAGCTAGAAAATTTCTTATTTGGCCCATTATTCATGTTATTAAGGACTTTCATGTTGAGGCATATTTATACAATTTCATGTTTTATATCTCTCTTTTAATCCCCATTTTGCATGTTTCTGCAGCCTATCATGCTTCTGTTTTTTGGTCTTTTTACAGGCCTAGAAATAGTCTTATTTTGACCTTCATTAACATTGTTTCATTAAGGTCTTTTGGCCGTTTGTAGAATATTT